TGACAAATAATTATCTCTTCTAGAACTCTGAATGTAAAACTTACACAAAGCAACATACATCTGTAGAAATATATATATATATATATATATATATATATATATATAGAGAGAGAGAGAGAGAGGGAGAGTCAAATAGTCATGTAAGTTTAAAGTTATATACAGTCAATCGAACTTATAATTCAACAAATATTCTATGTGTTAAATAGCAAACTCTAGGTTCCATGTACGGGCTTTGCATGTATATTTCCAATCAATTGTTATAAAACTTATTTTAAAATAAATTTTTAATTGCATGTATTCACCAAGAATATAGATAAATAATTAAATATTTCTTGAACCTTCCAAGATGAATGATTAAATTAGATAATTGGTGTCCTTATTCTAGATAAAAAATAATTAAATATTTTCTAAGAGGAATGTCTTACCTGTAATAGGAAAAGGTGCAGAGGTGAGCATGATGTATCTGATAGGCTACCTCGAATCTTCGGCGAGAAAGAGAACTGAATTAGAATCCCAAGACAGATGCAGTGGTCATTAACTCTACTTTGTCACGTTATTTTCTTCCAAAATAAGCTACATGTTATCCTACAATAAGCTACATGCTAATCGCTGCAAATTTCAAAGAAAAAAAAGGGGAAAAAAATAAAGGAAAAGAATCTAGGGAGAAAACCTTAGTGTGGTGTAAATCTTAAATATTAGACATAGGCCTACGAAAGATGCCAAAAATAGGAGAATCGAAGTGGTAAATTTATACTTGATTTCAGAGTTCCAAGTCTTGTAGTTTAATTCCAAAAGAAATTCCATCATTGAGTAATTTACAATTAGATTCTTAAATTATACAAATATTTAAGGGCATAAAAGTAGATTAATATTTCGAGAATATTTTAGTCGTTCAACATTTAGCATAAATTATTCGTGCTTTTATAATAATAATATAAATAGATAGATAGGATAGGATAGGATAGGATAGGATAGATAGATAATATAATATGTTTTTAAATTAAATTAGTATTAAGAATTGTTTGAGAAGTATATCCTGAAAGTAAAAGTAATATGATTACATGATTAGTCAAAGCTTTACGTTTTTTGTTTAGCTTTTTTCCTTCTTATTTCAGCATATAATGGCTCATTTTTTGTGAGATAGCAACAAAATCACAAAAAGCTTAGATATTCATATAATCTCCATCACAACAATGCACAAAAGTTTAATCATATAACTATTCATAAAGAGACTCTCGTGAGCAACATATAATCCCAAATAGCCATATTATCAAAATAGCGTAAAAATACAAGAGGAAAAATATATTTTGTATTTTGCTGCACATGTTATTTAGTAAGAGAGGTTCCCCTTTTCTTTTTCTTGTCCCCGTCAATCTCAAAATGTTTGCATTTCTTAATTGGGTATTGTGATTTGCTATCCTAGTGTTGAAATTTAAATATTTTGGCAAGTGAAGGTTGAGATAAGTTGGCAAATAAGTTTAATAATTTAGACCGAAGTTGAGTTCAATTTCCATTAAAAGATAATATTTATTGACAGAAAATAAGAATTAGAGATCGAGGAGGCCACTCACCGTAAAAATATATTTGGCATTGTTCCTACGAATCGAAAAATCTTTTCTTGGTTAGCCTCAAAAGAAAAGAAAAACTATATTTTTTACTTTTGGTTTAGCATCATTGCTAATTAAATATGTTGTGTGATGCAAACAATCAAATATAGTTATGTTTATCTTGCACTGTGTGTTAGATAGGGAGAGATATAAAAAAAAAAAATTATTGTTCTTCAAGCAAAGACAAAAAAATTTCAATAGCTAGATAATCTCCGACAACAAATAAAAATTAAGAGCTTTTGCCAAATCAGATCAAATATTACAAGGATAAAAATAAAATAAATTACGAAATACAAAAAGAGGTTAAAACTCCATCCATGCAACTTGATTATATGCATATGTAGCATCTTACGTAAATAAAAAAGAGAGCAAATTATGGACGTGCTTTTCTAATCTAAGTAGCATCAAATTTGTAGGGCCAACATATGTATAGTTTAAAGCGAAAAAGAATTTCATCATTAAGTAATTTACAATTAGATCCTTAAATTATATAAGTATTTAAGGGCATAAAAGTCAATCAATATTTCGGGGATGTTTTAGTCGTTCAATATTTATCATAAATTATTCGTGTTTTTATAATAATATAGATATAGATATAAATAGATAGATAGATATAGATTATTACTTTTCCTTTTAATTTTAGTCCCTGCAAGTCAATTATGCCAGCTCATCCTTTTTTCAGATGGATCGAGCTGGAAAACCCCGAAGAGAGGGGGAAAAAAGGGATTGAACAAACTTATAATCATAAAAAAAAAAAAAAAAAAAAAAAAAACAA